TTTGGAGAAATGCAGACCTTTGCAGGGTTTCCCATCCCTGTTTCTCCAGCTATGTGACACTCGCCTAATTGCATGCTAAACTAATACAACTGATTAAAACATCACAAAGCTTGCAAAACCAAACAAACATGTATTGAATTTGCCTTCTGATCAGACAAGCATCTAAATGAGGCAGAGGGATTGAATGAAGAGTATGAATGAGAAAAAGAGCAAGACTTCTCTTGTGGCTGGCAGTAGCTGTTAATTGGGCACAGTCACATTGTGAAACCATGCCTTCAGATTCCAACAGGATATCCCAAAACAATCTCCAGATACATGGTTTGATTTGCTTCTCTTCTGAGTTAACTCACTTCTATTTGTTTCACCCTAGGTGAAGAGTGGGGACAAGTGAGAGCACCCAATGCCAACCGCTTCATCTTTTCCCATGACCTATCAAATGGCGCCTTAAATATGCTGGAAGTGTTTGTGTCCAGCTTGGATGAATTTCAGCCAGATCTCGTGGTACTTTCAGGACTTCACATGATGGAAGGACAGAGCAAGGAGATGCGGCAGAGACGACTTATGGAGGTAAGATACTTGAACACCACCTTAATTTCCATTCCAACAAATGCTTCATGGCAAACTTTTGGGTTCCCAGGCTTGAACTTGTAATTAGGCTGTGTCTTCACAACTCCCACAGTATTGCATGCTAAAAGAAGAATGTGAACTGTAGGAATGGCGAAAGTCTAATCCTGTAACACTAACGTTTCTTAGATTCAGTGGGTTGTCTAGGGGAAAAAAAGGTATGGTCTGGTTGTCTGGCTGGAATACGTTGACATAGTTACTGGAGCTTATCTAGTGGCTAAATTACACTTTTCCTATCCTAGATACTAAGATGATCAAGGTTACAATCAAGACTTGCATTCTTTAAGCAGCATCTGTGTTGGATAATCTAAGAGGCAGCTTTATCATCTGAGCCCAGAGGAGCTACACCAAGTTTTCTTTATATTTACAGATCATTGCCTGTCTTACAGCTGAGTGCCCGTCCTGATGCAATGCACTGGCCTTCTTTTTTTTTTTTTTTTTTATTTTTCTCAGTTCTACAGCTGCTTCAGATTTGTGAGGTTTCTGAATTAGCCCATTAGAAAAGTGCTGAGTTGGGTGCAGATTAGGGTTAGATACAGTTTTGCTGCTCTGGGATTCTGAAAACTAGAAGCTGTTTTTATTTCTTCCCCTTAGCAGTATGTTCTGGCACTTGTCAGACGTCTCATTTGGAATTGTGTTTAAATTCATACACAAGAAGATTAAAGGACATGTATCTCTGAGTTCAAACCCCTTTGTTCTTTCTGTTTCTTAATGAATATGTGTTTTAGGGTGGGGTGTTTTTCTTTTCCTGTACCCCTGTAGGCTGTGGCCTCCATCTCCGATATCCCTACTGACATTCCCATACACCTGGAGTTGGCCAGTATGACTGATCAAGATTTTATGAGCAACATTATGCATCAGGTAATGAAAATGAAAGGACATGCTCTTTTTGTTTCCTTTTCTTCAGTAACACAATGCACAGACTGGTAGATGAATATAGAAATGAAAACTTAAAATTAGGGCTATCGATTTGAAGATGAATTGAGAACATGGGTTTAATGTCTGTTATTGCATTCTGAATGCTTCTGTTTTCTCTACTGAGCTTACCAGAGTCTCCTGTGCGAAGGAGAACTGTAATGCCTTAGCAGAGGACAGATTTGTTTTCTTTAGCTCAGAGAGAGTATTCCTTTTAGAAAGGTCTCTCCAGGAAGTTTCATTTAGGAGGTATCTTAAAATGCTCTCAGGTGATCGTCAGACTGTTTTCAGCAAGGAGTAGGATTTTTTGCAGACCTGAGTTTATTCAGCAACTGTATTCAGTAAAAATACCATGCAACACAGCTGGGCTCTATTCTCTGGTACAAAGATTTTTCACAGTCGTGGGAAGGTGACCCAGGGGAATACTCACAACTCCACAAATACAAGTAACTTTGGTTTAGGTTTAGCAGGCCTGCAGATTTCTAGAAAAAAAACAGGATTTGAATTTGAGCTGAGTTTATAATTTAAAAGAACCTCAATATCTTTGCAGAATTTCTTTCCTGCAGATCCTGATGGTTCCTTGTTTAGCTTGACACAGCTCTAATCTCAGTGTTATGAGTGTTTGATGTGGATTTGATGTTTTGTTACTCTTTAATGTCAAGGTGTGTGTCTAGAAAATTAATTGCACCAAATGAGCATGCACCCTTGGCTGAAATGTTTTCCTGGCTAAGTAATTCTTGCAAACTTGTTGAACTGGGGAAGCTTGTGCAGTGACTTTGGCCTGCATCTCCCCAGGAAACTGGGTGCTCCCTTCTGCCGAGCATGCTGGCAATAGAGCCAGTAACACAGAATTGTAAAATCAGTACCCTGAATGAGGAAGACCAAAGTCTGATTCTCTCTCTGAAGGAAAAACTGTTGTTCCTGTGTTTCTGTTAGCAGGTCTTTCCCCTGGTGAACTCCATTGGGCTGAACGAACAGGAGCTGCTGTTCCTCACGCAGTCTGCATCTGGTCCCCATGCCTCCCTTCCTTCCTGGAGCGGAGTTCCTGATGTGGGTGTAGTCAGTGACATCCTCTTCTGGATCCTGAAGGAGCATGGGAAGACAGCAGACCGGGCCTCTGATCTCACACGGATCCACTTCCACACCCTGGCCTATCATATCCTTGTCACAGTGGATGGGTATTGGGGCAACCAGGTTGCTGCTGTGGCTGCTGGAGCTAGAGCAGCAGGTACTCAGGCCTGTGCGACTGAAACCATTGACACCAGCAAAGTCTTTCTTAAGGCTCCTTTGGAGTTTGTGACCTCCCAGATAGAGGCGCCTTCCAAAATCTCTTTAAATCCAGATGAGCCAGTGGTGCACTGGCACAGAGAAGGCATCTCATTCCATTTCACTCCCGTTTTGGTGTGTAAAGATCCTGTCCGGACCGTGGGACTTGGGGATGCTATTTCAGCTGAAGGACTGCTATACTCAGAAGTATATCCTCAATAGAAGACAAAGACCCTCATTTTTCTCCAGTACTGTATGGTGTCTGAGGAACCATGGTGTTCTCATTAGGATTTCAGCCAGTGATGGTATAGGAACAGAATTCAGGGTGTGGTGTGTTTTCTGGATATAACTGAAAAAGAGCCAAAGAATAATTCCAGGTATAAACTGTCAGATACATTCCAGTCACTTGGCAGTGACTCGAAAACTTCACGTTTAGGTGCAGACGTTTTAGTATTTAATGTGAAAATTGGCTTTGCTTTGTCTTAAGCATGTGGGGAGGGAAACAAATATCAAAATCCCTGTTTGGCGTAGGTTTGCTGTTTGTAACTCTGAATGGGTCTTGTCTGTTAGTGCAGGGAAGTACAGCATCCAGGAGAATTTCCTGTGTGTGGATCCCAGGGAGAACACAGCAGTGCTCGGCCCTGTCTTGCCTCTGATAAATTAAAAATAAAAGGCTCTTGCATTATCTCCTCACAGCACATTGCTATGTGGCAAGAGCAAACCTTCCACTTGCTTGGTGTGATGATGAAATCTTTTACTGATGAAATTAACTCTCAACTTCGGTGCCCCCAGCACTGGAGGGAGCCAGAGTCCTGAAATGTGATGCACGCTGTACCTACTCCTTAAATGCACAGAGAAAACCTGACTCAAGGCTGCGCAGATTATTTTGGGAATCTGTTGTCTCTGTGACTAATGGTATTCAACTGAGCCCTAGTAGTCCGTGCTTAGTTTTTGGGCAACTAGAAGTGAAGATAATCAGGTTTATATCTGGGGAGACGGCTTTATTTTCTTGCTAGGTAAACCACAAAAGGTTACCTGTGTTTGCTGTACACTAAATACCAGGAGTTCCAGCTGGGGGGGCTCACAGCTGGTGTTCTTTGGTAACAGTGGGTGCTTATATCTGGTATTTTACAGAAAAGCTATTGAGTGCTGTAGACTAATTTTTTTGTTTGAGAACGGTTGTGCAATTTTCTTCATTTTTCCCTGCCTTCCATCAGAAGGGTTAATTTATTAGGGGAGTTCCCTCCGGAGGCTCAAAAGCTGCAACAGCATTTTCCAGGTAAGACTGAAGTGAGGAGGGCTTTTTTAGGGTTTGGTTTTGGTTTTTTTTCTTTGACTAGGTCCGTGATAGTTTCTTTGCTCTGGCCAGCCTTTGAAATTAAAGAAATAGAGCTGTGTGTCCTTGTTAAATGCTTTGCTTATATTTTTTTCCTCTTCATAGTGGCACGTAATCACACCTAATGTGGATTACAGAGCACCAGCTTTTTTTTTGGTCTCTTTCCAGCATGGTTTTGTCTCTTTCTGCTTCCAGGAACTTCAAGCATGTATGCATAGCTTATCATACACATGTTTTTTTCAGTATAACTGAATTAAATGCAATCAGCATGTCTATGTAAGCCTGTGCTGTACCAGAATTTGTAGGAGGTCGATTTAGGTCAGTCTTTGCATCTGAATGGAGAGGAGGAGAGTCCATATCACTTAGGCTGGAGTGATCCGTTTCAGTAATGCTGTCATATTGCTGTCAGTGATGTTCTCCAGTTGGAAAATGCCATCGTGAATGCTCTGTAAGGATAAAAATTGACAGTTGTTGTAACTTGTACTGACGTAGCACACAATGCTGTCTGTCAATGTATATTTAACTTCTGCTTTCCCTCTGAGTGAAGTCTTCTGTGTTGCACCAGAGGAGAAATACAGTCAGTGCTATGTTTTCCTGCAGCTTATCCCATCCTGATCTGCTGTTGCATCTCAGCATTTTATCTCGATATGGGATCTTTTTAAGACTGGAAGTATTTCTATCCAGATTATTTTTTTTTTATTATTGATAAATTGCAGCATGGGACTCAGAGTTCTGGTTTAGTCTTCCTACAGAAAAAATAAATCAAAAAATTCTCCTTTCAACCATCTAAAAGGTCTGAGGCCATTAGCAGGGTTATTTTGCAACGATTGATCATAGCCTTCTGGCACACCACCCCTAGGACCACCAAAGGCCATACATCCTACCAGCTGGAGAACTAATCCTTTGCTTACACTAGGTCCCACTTTCCTGACAAGCTGTGTGGATTGTTGGGTTGGAAACAAAACAAAACTAAATACACACAAGCTGTCAGCAGCAACAGTCCTGTTGCTGTATTTCACTTCTCTCTTCCAAAAATATTTGCAGGGATGTGAGGCTGATTGGACTCACGTTGCCTTATGGCCATTTAAAATCACGTAACTGCAATAACAGAACTTGTCCAAGGGTAAGTTATGCTTGGACTTAACAGGAGTGTTACAGGCCTAAATTATCTTATTCTTCTTTTTTTTTTTTTTTAACTACTTTGAATAAATAACTGATGTAAACAAGTATGAAAAAGGGTTTTGTTGCTTAGAATTCATCTGGGCCTAAAAACTAAATGCTAATTAATTACACTCCTTCTTCCTGCTGCTCCTGTTCTTTCTCACCAGGTAATATTTCTTCTTTGGCTGCTGTCGGTGTGCTGTGAATGCCTGGCACTGAGTCACTTCTCAAACAACAGTAGCTTGTGATGGCTAGACTGCCACTCTATCTATATATCTGCTTTGATCAGGCATATAGAGCTCACCTGGTCACCAAATTCACTTACCAAGGATAACTTAACAAGTGTGTCCTGTTAATCAGATATGCCATTGGTATCCCTGATTAAGTTTTGAAGCAATCTATATGATAATAAAACTGAATTGAATGGTGGGATCCAGCAGCCTGTCTTCATGTTTCACATGCTGCGAACATGATGTGCTTAGCTTCCCTCTGCCTTCCAAACTTAATTACAGTAAGGGTTACAGAGTCTCTTGAAATCCTGTGCTGTCTCACACCTCTGCACAGCTACAATAATGACAACAAAGAAAAGCTGCTTTGTCTTTAATAGACCTTGCTGAACAACAGAAATGGAAATAGCTAGTGGAGGTTTTTTGGTCTGTATAGGTGAAAAAAGCTAGTGAAATTTCTATTGATTGTGGCTTTTGTGGTTTGGTTGGTTTTGTGTTTTTGTAAAATACAGAAGTCCTTTGTAGGTAAGATATTTTTAAACAAATTTATCTAATGGATTATAAAAATCCAGATCTCTCTTCACCATGCAGAAACAGTAAAGTTGCAAAAATACCAAAGCTTCAAAACCAGGCTTGAAATGATCTCTGCCTTCCCCTGATCCTCTCTGTCTCTACAAATTCTGTTTGTTCTTATGTGATACTCATACCTTGAAATCCACAGTGATGGATGACTCAAACCTCAGCTAGCCTTGTACTCCCAAACAGAAGGGTTTCCACTGGAAATGTTTATTCACTCATAGTTTGCTGAAGATGCGATAGATGAGCTCATCATTGTGACAGTAAGCTAGTGGCTCTCTAGATGATAAACTTGTGCACGTTGGTATTTCCTCTTCTGTGTGCCTGTAGCCAGTGCAGCCACATTGGTTTTGTGTTTTTGTCTTACCCTTAATCAAAAATGAGCAATGCTTCCTATCTTTTCTGTGTATGTTGCTTACTGAAGGTTAAGTAAGTGTTGGATTATTTGAGATGCATGAATCACAGGAGGCTGGCAGGCTTTGAAAGGATACATTCCTTCTCTGCTGTGCCCTTGGTGATGTGCAATTGCTACCTGGCCATGGAAGAGCCAATCCCAAATGCAGTACTTTCCAGTTTAAAGGCTCTTTACTCCTCCCTGCTCCCCCTGCCCCCACCCTGCCTCCAGGGGAGTTTCACAGCATTGCTAAGGAATTACTTGATTTTCTCTACTGCTGTTTCTTGGTTATCTCCTGTTGTGGTATGCGAGATCCGGTTAAGTAAGTTTGCTCTTTTCTCATGAGTTCCTTTTTACAGAAATGGTGCTGAAATTTTCTTCCTTAGCCTTTATGCATTGCCTCTAGCAAAGACATCATCAACTGCTTTGACCCTTGTTAGATGTTGCCTTAGAGCCCAGCTCCACCTCTCAGCTACTGGAGTCCAAAGCTTGGATAGCAGCAGAGGACTAGGTCCATTTCCAAAACCTAATGGAAAACTGTCAGCCAAGTGTGTGTATTTGCCATCAGTTATCTTCTGCCTAAGTTTATTTTAAGACTAGTTAGCCTAAGGAAGGGGTTGCTTTTTGTAGCCACCTCTGTAGTACACCTCCCAACGACAATAACAGAAATAAGTAGATTTTAAACTGTGAAATCCGCTGATGCTAGTTGTGGCTGGATTTCTTCTTATTCTGTAATGATATACTGAATTCTTAGGAATTATGTGCCACAGGGTGACCCTTCAGTCGCGTCCTGAGAAAAAAGTTAAAATTGGTACTGGATCAGTTTTTGTGAGGATGGTACAAGGCAATGTAACTCTTTCCAGTTACCCTAAAAGTTGTTTACACTTCTGTGCTGTTGGGCTCTTTTTTGGAGCCTACAGCTTAGGTGAAGGCTGATGCTGTTGTCAACAAGAGAGCAGCTAAACTGTCTCTGCATTGATATTTGGCACTAGCTGCTGATACAAGTGCTTGGAGCAATCTGTCAACTACTTCTGTCACACAGTGTGCTGCATGGCTTTTTCTAGTGTAAGGAAACTCATCAAGTTTTTGAGTACATTTGGACGAACAGTATAAAAATGGAGGAAAATACTGAATTTACATTTTTATGGCTTTAGCTGGATTGTTCTTATGTCCTGCATTAAATCAGTATTTGAATGTGAATGTTTTGTTTCAAGCCATATTAACTACACTCTTCTCTAGTGCAATTAATGTTTCGGTAAAAGCATACAGTAAAGTTTTAAACCTGTGATCATCCCAAAGTGGTTGTTTCATGTTTAAGAAAAAATTAGATGTCTATAGACTCATTGGTTAAAACCAGCTAAAACAGACACCACAACAAAGACTCACTCACGTTCTTCATTCAAGCACTAACATGGTTACTAGAGAGAGAAAGGGAAATATTAAAGGTTGTCTTTGTTCTTTGTTTTGAAAGTTTGAGTGATAAGGGGCAGAGGAAACCTATTTGCAACAAGTTCATTTGTGTAGCATATCCCTTGGCCTGCTCTCATCACTCCTGTCTCCTTTCTGCTTCAGCAAAGCTGAGTCTGATTAAACTCTTCAGTAAAACATGATCTTAGAGCCAGAAATGATTGTTCTCCTGTCTGTTCAGAGATGTCAGATGAAGTTCTCTTCTGTAACAGATGGAGCAGTTTCTTGCATAGTTATCTCAGGTGGATCCTAAGCGCCAACCAGGCTGAATTCTCAGGGAGTTACTGATCCAAACTCTTGAGGGAGGACATTCTCTCAGCAAAGGAAACAAATGCAGGTTGGAAATAGCATGCATGGCCATTACCTTCTGTGTCGGAAGCTGGGAAAGGCATCTGTTCCAAACAGCTCGCTGTTGCTTTGAAAACTGAGCCTGGTATCAGCCTTTGCTGAGAAGATCTCATAGCAGCTGAAGAATACAAATGCTGGCAGCTAAGGGGGGAATGATCTCATTAAAATGCAAGTGGGGGAAACAAAAAAAATACCCTGAAAACATCCCCTGTGAATTTCTCAGGAAAGCTGCCTGGGTAAAACTGGGTTCAAATCTCACCTGTATCTTTCATTAAAAAACACTGATTTTTTTGTGCAGTTTGGTTTGAGAGAGTGGTAAAGCTTTCCTTGTAGCAGAACTGTGTATTCTATTATATGAAACAGTCTTAGCAGATGAACTATTTGTTAATATGTGCTTTTTTGTAGCACATTTATGTGTGGAGCTTATTATTTTAGTAAAGCTGTTTTTTCTTCATTCAGCACTGAGGCTTGTCTGTCCCTGTAGAAGAGGCTTTGCTTCCCCCAATGGGGAAATGTAAATTTTTGATGTCTTGTGCAAGAACAGGATGTTGAGTAGGACCCAAGGTCCACCTTGCTCACTATTGCCTGTCAGTGACCACAGCTGGGCAAGATCGCATACAGGAGCATGGCAACTATACACTAATACTGCCCATATCATAAATCAGCATCCAGTTGTCTCAGGGACCTCAAAACCAGAGTTGTCTGGGTTGAATACACATTGCTGGATGGATAGATCATTACTCTTGGCTGAAACAAGGTCTTGCTGCTCAGGTGTTGCTATTTGAGTGTCTTCTAGTTTCTTTCCTGTGGGGAAGTGAGGCTGCAGTCTACCTTGTATGCTGTATGATTTAACCTGGTTAATGATACACATTTTTCTAAAAGGGCGAGAAAAAAGTCCTACAGCAGATGGTTTCTACTACCCTAGAAATTAAGCTCATTATTCTTTTCCATCTTAAAATTTCAATTATGGGCAGAAAAGAGACGATTAGAATTATGGCTGATGCCAGAAACAGGTTTTGGAACATAAGGTGCGATTTCCAAAATCCCTAAATGACTGACTTAGTACAGTCCTGCTGCAAAATCCCATGCTTAATTTCAGTTGAAAGAACAGTCCGGCCTCATTCTCATCATTAGATAGCATAAAAAAGCTCTCCATAAAGATACTATGAATTTACTGTATCCAAATGCCATCATCACAATACCCAGGGGGAGGAGAGGGAACAGGACAAGGAGTTGCAGTTCTATTTATTATCCAACTGTAATTACACATAGAATCATAGAATTGTTTACATTGGAAGAGACCTTTAAGATCATCCAGTCCAACCATTAACCTAACATTACCAAGTCCACCACTAAACCAATGAACACATTTAAAAATGCTTCCTTAAGACATACATGAAGCTCCCTTCTGCTCTGTTCAAATCCACAAAGTAACAAGGTGCTGGTTAATTGTCTGCATAAGCTTTTCACCAAAATATATATTTATTTTAAATACCTGTACAGTAACTCCAAATGTAGTATACCCTATGTACTAATGTGTAACATTTACCCTATAAGGGCATCCTAACAGCCAAGAAGGTAATAAGTTACACCAGTGGGAGTGGGTGAGAGGAGAGAGATCTTCTTGTGTCTCTGGTGGGCTGTAAGTTGAGAACAGCAGTGGAACAAGGGCTGCTCCCACCTACTGAATATAGCAAAGGAGTTTCATAATGCTACAGTCTAAGGTCACTTTTCTTTTTTACAACAAGCAGAAGGCAGGGGAAAGCAGCTAGTAAAATCAAAACAAAGGGTCATGAGCAGATAGAGGGGAAAACCTTCCTGTATCAGCAATGCTGTAAGCATGCTGTTCTGGTCACTGTTCTTTGTTCCACAGCTTGAAAGCCTTTGTGGTAAGACTAAAAGATTACAGCAATCAACTGCTATCAGAAAAAACTGTCTTGAACTAAAGATTTGGGGGTGAGGTAAAGAGTTCCCATACCCGGCCTACCCTTGCTCTGCAATCTTAACCTTCTTCACAGGCACTCAGTTATGCTGCAGTAACTCAGTGTAAAAAGTTTAATGTGAATAAAAATCACTACATTGTACCCGATTTACACTGCTGCTTGTCTGGTTTGTTTAAATTTGCCAGTGCTCCACAAAAGATCCTCTGTTCTCTTCAACTCACTTCACTCACTCACTCACACTCTGTTCTCTTCAACTCACTCACTCACTCACTCACTTCACTCACTCACTCACTCACTCACTCACTCACTCACTTCAACTAACCACAAAGCACAACTGAAGGATGTTAATATATCCAGAGCCTCTGTCATGCTGCTTTTACATTGTTGCTACAGAGAAGTTGCCAGTACTAACCTTGCTCTGTTGGACTTGTTAATTATGGAGTGATACAACGCAACAGTGCAGAACTAAAAGCAGGAAATATGCTTTTAAAAGCTGGGTAGCTTAACCAGCAAATAACGCTGAAGCTTCAGTTTTGTTGAGGAAGTGCTACACATTCTGTTTGGAAAACTCGGATCAAAAGTCCAACAGCAATGTTAGCTTTGTGTACTTCTTGGTACACAGAGGGGAAGATGAGAAAAACTACACTTAACCCAGTTACTGGTTCTTTGTAAGTATGGTGGTCCTGCCTTTAGTTCTGAAAAGCAGTTGTTTTGAGGATCTGTAGCAAGCTCTGGATATAATCCCAGAGGCAACAAACCGACATTAGCAGAGAAAAGGAAGGCTAAGATTTAGCTGTTCAAGGATAGAAACTTTCAAAGCATCTCTGGTATCACATGGGCATTAAAATTTCTTGCTCTGCTCACCAACGGGCTGCTTTGCTGCCTTGCAGCTAGCCTAAATGATTTCTCCTAAAATGCAACTGTAAGGAGGACATAAGTAAATTATTCAGACCATGGCTGCTGTCATACTAAAACAATTTAAATTTAGCATTGAAGTTGAGCGTATAGTCTTTTCTGAAAAGGCTTGCTCTTTTTTTTCCTGCAAACAATCTTTCCCCCCATGCTGGGCAATACGAATTCTCAAGGAAGAACTCCAATCACATGAGCAGGGCTTCACTGAGGCTCATTTACCCTGTTTCTCAGCAAACAATTAGGAATTTGGCAGACGCTGCTGCTGCTGCAGCTAGCCTGCTTCCAGAATAGCCAGCCTGTGAGCACTTGCCTTACTGTGGGCCAGCTTTGCAACTTTCTTAGCTACCACATAGAAGCTTATGCTTAAAAATTGGCTGGATTCAAGAAATACAAAGAGTGATCCTGGGATCAGAAGATGAACAGTCCTAAAGAAGCCAGCTCTGTTGGCTGGCCAACACACATGCTGTCAGCCCAGCGCAGCAGGTCTGTTTCAGCCATCCATCCTCCAGCAGGCTGCACATTAATGGAGCGATCGCCCCGAGACAAACCAGCTCACCTTTGCTATGCAGCTCCCCCATGTTTCACAACTGCCACCACTAAAGAAAGTGTGGGCTTTGAAGTCTTCTTGTGCCCTGTGACCATGACATTGCCCTGCTCAGGAATACCAGCTCCCAGCTGTTTCAGCTTCCTTTCTTCAGCCTTGAGAAAACATTTACAAAGTCTTGCTCTTGTGAAACGGGGATTGACAAGCCCCAGTTTCACAGTAAGCCAGGCTGTGCTAGTCCCGAGCCTGGCTTATTGCTCTGCACTTGCCCTGGTGAGGTATACTACCTTCACCCCCTCTCTGAGCATACTACCACTGACCTTACTACAGCCTCTGTAGGGCTTCCTCAGGCACTTACAAGTTCAGCCACTGGAAGGGTTTGACCCTCTTTGGGATCCAGCATGCTAAGTCACTACTGCTGGCTCTTCTAAATATACTGCATGCCTCAGCATCCTTCTGGAGGATTTACACCCAGACACTGGAGACTGCCAACCCTGTGGAGAGATGGATCTCCATCCTGCAGTCTCTTGTTGTAAGCTGTGACCACACTAACAGTAGCTATGCAGAAACCTCTTCTGATTGCTGCAATGACTCCTTGGGACAAGGTAGAGACCACGTGCTAAAATCATTAACAGAAAACAGCTGCATTTAGACTGACAGTGGGACAAAGCCACCGTGGGTTGGGGGAGAGGGCAGGTCCCTTTCCCCACAAGTCAGCAGGCAGCGCTGGAGATGCTCCTGCACCTGCCTGTCCTGACCAGAGTCCGTCCTAGTCCGCTGCCTGCCGGCTCTTGTGCTTTTCTTTCCTCTGTTCCTCAACCAAGGTCTCCTCGGGGCTCATTTCTGAGCCTGGTTCTGGTTCCAGAGGCAGCGAGGGAGGCTTTGCAAGCGGAGCTGATGCTCCAGCACCTGGGGAGAGAACACAGTTATAGTTACTGTATGACTACATCTCTTTTGTCTACTCTTTTTGCCCTTCCAGGCAGCATGGAGATGCAGAACACAGCTGTTAATTACTCTCAGATTTCTTCTGTCTAGCATTAGCTTATCAATAGCACTCAACTCTTGTGAGTTATCGGGCCAGAGACCTTACTGTACCCACAGTTCTACTGAAGGGAAGCTCAAGTACAGGATCTCATTCAGCTGGGCTGCTGGGAGAAGTCAGTATAAACTTACAAATCAACTCATGCTTTGGAAGGGAAAATAGTTCCACTGAAACTGGTTTATATTCAAGCTGGAGCCAAAACCACAGTATCGTTTTTAGTTCACAGTTTTAGCAAATTCAAGGAGAGTTTCCAGGCAGTTAACATAGCTACTTACAGATTAAAATCAAAACAGGACACTACCATGCTGAAGTTGTTTCTATGCTTAGATTTAAGCTGACAACTGTTGTTATGAACCAGCTCCCTTCTCTGATGTGGATGATAAAGTCCTTCAGGTAAACCCCAAACTCCTGTATGTTTTATTTTTCAGCTTTCCTGACTAAGTCTTCCCTGCATGGAAAGTTTATTCCATGCATGAGAAGTGGAACAGGTCCTTAGGGGTGCCAAAGAAAGAGGCCTGGATTACACAACCTCTCTCCTGGTTCAATCCACATGAAACAGGACTAAGAGTGACAAAAAATCACCATGATGAGCAATATCTCTAGCACATTCCTCCTTGGAAGCCAAGGGGTGAGAGGAGGTCAGGCTATGAATGGTGGCTCAGGAGATGCTCCTACCCAGCCCCAGCAAGCAGCAGCACATACAGCTATTGGTGTAAGCCTTCTAAGGCTGATGCTATCTCCTGAGCAAACTTCAGTCCAGTAGCCCACACTAAAAGGTAATCCAGCAACATTTGCAAGGGAGGGACCTGGCTGGACAGCTGCAAAGCAATCCAGTTGCAGTTAATTTTTGTAACAGAAATGATAAAGCGCTTCAGAAAATTGTTCATCATTTCCCTTCTCTCCAGCAGCCTGTCTGCGCATGTCAGCTCCTGGGCTCTTCCAAAAGAAGACAAGAGGTCTCGTTTCTGAAACTACCTCCTTTCCAGAGCAAGATCTCAATCCCATGCTAATGGAGTCTTGCCCATCGTGGCTCAGACAGGAAGGGAAACTTTGCTGGCTTTCCACACCACTGCAAAAGCAGGATAGTGTAATGCACCACAGAGAGCATCTTCCTTCCACACTTTCTTAACTCAGAAATCTGGGCAAGTTATTACCCAATATTGACATCACTACTGTGTAAGCAAGTCAAATACCTTCCTAAACATGTGCTGTGACTTGGTACTCAAAGGAAGAGAGATTTATCTTCTCCCCTCCCACAGTTCTACTTTAAAGAGAAGCAAAAGAGAAGTACCTGGGGGAAGCTGCATGGTTTTCCCATACCCCGCAGCTGAGGACATGGCTTGACCCAGGGCCTGGTTAGAGCCCAAAGGCTGCTGAGTGCTGGAGGATTTCCCTGACGGAGCAGCTCTCTGCTTGGATTTAGACTCTTTAGAAGGCTTAGTCCAGATCAGGTTCTCCCCCACCTGCAGGGCAGCTCCCATCTTCTGGGCAACCTCCACCATCTTCTCAAGAAGCAAAAAGAGAAGACCATTGTAAACAGGAACATTTCAGACAACAAAAAAGTCAACAACACAAAAAAAACCCAGAAAACGAGCTGTACAGAGCTGGCTACTGCTTTGGTGCTTGAGGGAAACATCTCCACTAATTCATTCCCTTAATTAAGATGGAATCTTGTCTTGCTGCGTATTGATTGAAGAACTGGGCTTCAAAGAGCAGAAATGAAGCAAGCAGCTCTCAGCAGGCAAATGCTCTACTCGGAAAATCTCGTAAGCAGTATTTCTTCCTAATAATTGGATGCCAAAGTCAAGTTTCCTCCTCGTTTGTTGCCAGTCTTAGCATGGCTACTTAGTTTCTGCTGACAACTGTTAGGCACATACCTCAGGGTCAAAGTCAAGAGTACTGCTGTCCTTCACTGCATTGACCTTCTTCTCCATCTCCTGGTACTGGCAGAGGGCTCCCTTCTTGTCGCCCTGGTTATACAGCAGGACAGCATAGTTCAGGTTGACGAGGGGGTTGCACCTTCAGCAAACACACAGGATGCATCGCATTCACTGTGGGAACACTTATCCTGACTTGAATAAGCACTAAGACATGCCCAGACAGCAAAGCTGGAGACACCTTACTGTCTGGCACAGACAAGCCATGGGGTACTCTGACCCTGAAGCAGATGAGGGGCTGCACAGCCAGAGTCCTTTGGGAACACGATAGAGTCCCACATGCTTGGTGAGAGACCCAATACCTGGGCTTAGCAAAGTATCCCAGTGTCAATGACAATATAAATGACTCTGCTGATTGCCTCACCCCCTGCAAGGCTCTTCTCTGCAACAGCCAATTCTTTGCACTTTGGGACCGTCTCAGGACTGTCTTTAGTAAGTGCCTGGTCTCCCAGCCCCTTGCTCCTTGGGCAGGGAGAGCAGTGACAGGGGTTTTCACTGTACTCTGAAAGCTGGTCTCTGCTCTGCCCTGTACTCGGCGCTGGTGAGGCCGCACCTGGAATACTGTGTCCAGTTTTGGGCCCCTCACTACAAGAAAGACATTGAGGTGCTGGAGCGTGTTCAGAGGCGGGCAACGAAGCTGGTGAAGGGTCTGGAGCACAGGCCTTATGAGGAGCGGCTGAGGGAACTGGGGTTGTTTAGCCTGGAAAAGAGGAGGCTGAGGGGAGACCTTATCGCTCTCTACAACTACCTGAAAGGAGGTTGTAGTGAGGTGGGTGTTGGTCTCTTCTCCCAAGTAGCTAGCGATAGGACAAGAGGAAATGGGCTTAAGCTGCGCCAGGGGAGGTTTAGACTGGAAATTAGGAAAAATTTCTTTACGGAAAGGGTGGTCAGGCATTGGAACAGGCTGCCCAGAGAGGTGGTGGAGTCACCATCCCTGGAGGCGTTTAAAAAACGGGTAGATGTGGCACTTCGGGATATGGTTTAGTCTGGTCTACCCTTGATTAGTCTAGAGTGGGCTTGGTAGTGTAGGTTAATGGTTGGACTGGATGATCTTAAAGGTCTTTTCCAACCTAGATGATTCTATGATTCTATGATTCTATGATTCTATGACTTATCTCAGGCTCTCACAGCTCTCCCAGTTTGTGGGAGAGCAGCTTGTCATGGGACAGGGCAGTGGAACGCTCATGTTTACTGATTGTATTTTACAACCCAACATGCTATAGAACATGCTGTTTACATTTCATTTTCCTCGCCTCTTCTCTCTCATTCACCCAGTACATACATAATTGTATGTACTGTTACAGAGAAACAGTAGGTGATACCTATTAATGAAGGACTTGAAGAAGAGACCAGCACCACAGATAACACTGTTATTCTGTACGGTCCTGCCTCCCTTCCTGATGCAGAACAGCATATGAAGATTTCAAAAAGGAAGAATTGCTCTATATACTCTCATTTTCCACAGTACTCAGTTTCTTCACTAAGATGCATGACCCCTGAACAGCAACTTTTCATCCGGCATAGCCAGGAGCGTGAGCAAACCAGAGGGAAACTCTGTAATTGATAAATGAAGCTCTCAAGTGACCTGATCCTTCCTTAACTAAAAAAAAAGCCACACTCAACAAACTGTTCTGACCATTCTTTAGCAGTCTGAATTTCACCCTTATTTTGGAGACGCAAAATGCATGTGTATTGTCTGACAAAGAAATGAAATGGAAGAGGGTCACTGGCTCCAGCACAGGAGCTCATGCAGACACTCAGCTCATCCAGGCTGCAGGATGAGACCTGGAAGAGCAGAGGTTGCACTTGGCCAGAACAGGGGACGTGCTGTCAAGGGGTACATGGAAGAGCACTGTCTGACTGCAGCTCCCTGCAGAGGAGCTGCATACATGTATCACTGCACACCGGTCAGCGAGGGATGCTTTGTACAGTTTGCTCAATAAATGTGAGCGAGGGACTGGTGCCCTCTCCCGGAGCCTGGCAGGGATAACTGGAGCCATCCAAGGACTCCAGCACCTAGGTCTGGGAGATGCCAAGACAGAGCGAGCATCCTTTGCAGAAGGGAAGGCTTCTGCTAACACTGTTCAATAAATAGAAAGTGTCATCTGCAGGCCATGACTATCCATCCTTGATAAGTTATATGACAGCAGTGCAAGAAAGAAGACTATTAGAAGAAATTGGATAGCATTTATAACCATTGGTTTTCCTTTAACTGAGAAACTGGAACGCTGATCCTGCCACAAAAAAACCCCTCCTCACTGTCTTTGCCAAAGCAAAGGAAGTAATGCATGAAAAAATAAATATCAAAACCCCATCTCTTCGCAAATAAAAAAAAAAACAAAAAAGAAAATACAAAAAACCAAACCCACACACCAAACACTGAAAACAGAGATCAGACAGATCTGGGAACAGACAGTTTTAATTGAACCTTATCAAGCTAATTTGCCTTCAACAGCTGAGAAGCAATACAACAGTTAGAAAAAAATCAATAGCTAAATAACCACAGAAAGAAAGGACAGCTATGAGCTAGAACCAGTACTAAGAAGAAACACCTTTCTTAGAGATTTTTCCAGGAAGCTTTCCACTCCAGAACCCAGCATGGCACCCAGGCCAAATGTCACAGTGCTGCTATAAAAGTATTTATGACAATGGAAACAAGCACGGCTATCTTCATCCCAGCCAAACAGTTCATAACATGCCAGCAAAGAAAGCCTGTGGGGATATGGATTCAGCAATTTATTCTGTTGATAAATAAGTATGAATTACTTCAGTGCCAGATGTATGCTGGCTGCACAGGGCTAACTGATTCAAGAGCTCTGGCAAGCATGCAAGCCATGTAATTCCCAGTAAACATCTGAGAGCATTTACAGCACTTCTTCGCAAAGAGAACGGCATTACAGTGTCAAACAGTTTTTTGAAACCTGCTGCCCTTTATAGTTGGTTTAGGAACTTCATAATTCCCAAAATTAAGCCTGGCCAGTGCACCTAGGTTAGAGAGGACAGAGGAAAAGGGACCAGCATCTTCTCATGCCACCTTGTGGTGGCCACTGCAGTTGGAAAGAG